TTGGGGATAATCTGCTTTACTCAAAGTTTACAGATTTAAATGTTAGTTTTAACTAACATTAAATACTAAAACACTCCCATAGAAACGTTTAGGATGTTTGACTAAATATCTGAGTACTATGACTTACTTAAGTTGACACATAAAATTAACCATGATACTTAGGATCGTTTGCAAATGCAGGTTTTTAAGGCCCTATCACAGACACCCTCCTGAACCTCCAGAAAGTGTGCCCTCCCACCACTACATCATCACCTTTCTTGAATGAAGGTTAGGGGAAAGAACAACAACAACAAAAAAGAGCAGAAATGCAAGCAACCAATATCTACACACTACATCTTCTAACTTTTATTTTGGCAGATGTCTATTAGTCTATCATTGTGTTGTGAAACAGAGATTGGGTAAAGTGTAAAGTATAAAGGTTTGGACCTGTAAGTGGCATGGTAGTTAAGGTGCTGAACTTCCATGTGGCCAACTGCCATTTGAGTCCTGGACTGGTGGCTTGCTTTCTCACTTTTGCTCGCCTCTCCTCTCTCTCTCTCTCTCTCTCTCTCTCGTATGTGCTCAACAGCAAATTTAACAAATAATAAATAAATTTAAATAAATAATTGTTTTTAAAAAGGAAGAATAAAGGTTTGTTTGGCTCACAAATCTGGTGATGCAGGATTAGCATCAGTCTGATCTCTGGTACTACATTGTGACATGGCTGACAGAAGCAGAGAGAAGAGCAGGCAAGTGCAGAGATAAGAAACAGAATTCCTCACTTCCTCTGTTTTTCTCTCTCATTTCCCCAACTGATTGGTTAGTGTCCTTCCATTCTTTAGGCCCCAAGAGTTAAACATCTTACCACCTCCCAAAACTATTACACTGGGGACCTGGCTTCCAGAACATGAACCTTTGAGGGACAAACTATTCTCTAAACCATAGCAGTAGGAGTGGGGGACAGTTTCTAACCTTACGTGATTTAGATTTTAGGTTTATGCCTTTGGATATGGCCACTGCGGAAATGAAGGGTTCATATACAGCTGGCTTTCTCGAGCACAGAGGTTACAAGAGGGTAGGTTCGCAAGGGGCAGTGCATGGAGGAGAATACTATGGTCATTGAAGGAATGATGCCATTCAAGCTTCATGAGCAGCCCAATAGGATGAATGGAATACATATTTATAAATGTAAGCAGCAATTATGCACTAGGGTTGAGAGCAGGGTATCTATAGTCAGGGATTCCAGAAATAAGGGTATCAGTTCAGAGAAAAGTTCTTTTTTTTTTTTTTTTTTTTTTTTCTAGGATTTTTGCTT